TGTGTGTGTGTGTGGTGTGTGTGTGTTGTGTGTGTGTGTGTGTGTTGTGTGTGTTTGTGTGTGTGTGTGTGTGTAGACGGACCGTGTGCACCGTGCAGACGTCTTCGATCTCTTCCCCGGAACTTTCCAGACAGTGGAGATGGTTGCTGGGAACCCGGGGACTTGGTTACTTCACTGTCACGTGACTGACCACATCCGCGCTGGCATGGAGACCACCTTCACCATCAAGGGTATGTAAAGCATGCATTGTGTGTCTAAATGGCGTCACACATGCTTGTGCATTAAGATAATTGAATCATGTACATTGAAATCCGGTTAAATTTGTGTGAAATCTCACTTTTGTATGTATATCTTCTTTCAATTCCAGAAAACTCATCGCATGGTAAGATTTATCCTTATTTCAATACAAATATTCAGTCTAATATTTAATATTCCATCTGTCACATACTTATGTAAATATAATACCTTGCTTTATATCTTGTTATTGTTAATTTGTAAATTCAACATGTATATTTTCTACTTTCTTGTTTATTTCTTGTCTTTTAATTTTTATGTACAATGCCATGTTTTTTATGCTGCTGCAACGCAAACATTTCCCAAATTAGGATCAATAACGTTCTATCTTATCTTATCTTACAAGAGAATACAAAAATATTATAATTTCATATCAAAATAAAAATAAATCAATGGCTGTCTGGAACTGTTACGCAATAGAATGGCTAGTTAAAACATTTGTTTTGATGACATGAGTAGTAAAAAGGCAAAAACATGCAGACAACTGGGATGGTTTAGTATTAGATACTGTATACAGTCAAGACTTTAGCAAAACCATTACATTCTCTTTTCTAGTTCAACATAGAAAAGGGGAACAGCATGTGACAGGCTTGTTTTGTCTCTGCTGTGATGTTGGATGAGTAATGTGTTTTAAATCTTATCTATGTTTGCTTAGTTTGTATTGGGTGTAGGGAAAGAAATGTGTCTTTTGTCAACTGTTACATTAGCATTTGCTGACTATATAAACTGAAATAAGCATGATATTCCATGGGAAATGTATTGTTTTAGTTATAACTAGTTTTAAGCCATAATTAGACCAAACCATATATATGAATTTGCGATTGAAAACAGTTGGTTATAAAACATGGTAGGCTTGTTATTCTGAATTTGATTAAGTTGAGTCAAATGTGAATTCTAAAATATAGCAAAATCGCAGAGATAAGATGGTTACTGAGGTTGGGAATTAACAGATATTCCAGTAAATCTCTGTAGCAAGATGTCATGGGCGTAAAATGTTTGATTGTGAACTCATGACATAGCTATCTTGTTTCTGGCTTCCTTTTTAACTTACGTTCTGTTTCCTGTTGCAGCGATAGGAACTGAAGGCTCCTTAAGGACACTGCTGCTCTCGCTGGCTCTCTGCCTCATGGCTGTAGGTGGACTACCATAATGAAGGGACCCTAACAATGCTTTACTATTTATGCAACCAAACAAAAAAATATCCAGGGACAAAATCATTGTTGTGTTTGAAGTTATGTATGTAAATATCAAGCAATGATCAGACCAACCTAAATATTTGAAGGGCTGTAAAATCCTGTATAAAGTTAAGGATTGTTTTATTTCTTAGAATTAAGATATATAAGCATTTTATATTTGTGGATTGTTTTTATGTTGCAGTTTGATGGCGTGTTGCACTGTGTTTGATGTTAACTTTTTAAAGCATAGCTGTACCAAAAGTGTGATCCATTTATGAATGTGCAATAAACACCTTGTTTTAACTGTGGTGTGATACTCATGTCCTTTTATTATTTTAAGTTCTAGGCTCAACAACAACCACAAGGTGGCGTTAATAATTTAAAAGTTGCCAAGAGAAGAGATCAATGATGACTCCTTTTCTTTTTCTGTGGCTCACAGGAAAATACAAAGCTTGGTTCAAATATTTTTAAATGTTTTTACAACCCTTTTATTTTAACCCTCCACATATTGGCAGAATATATATAATGTTTTCAGAATATGAAAAATCTGTATTATACAGTGATGTACTGGTAGTTTAATAACATTTCACTAAATCTTGTCCTTCATATCTGTTGCCTCATATAATGTATCTGATTATATCATTAACTGTTTTTGATTGGGTGCAGGAAATAAACACAGCACTAGTGATTAACTATGTGATCTGTGTGTTTTGTAATGAATTTGTCACTAACTGACAAATCCGGGTGAATTGTTTGTAGCCTTTATTTAACCAGGTTAAAAAATCCCATTGAGATCAACGATCTCTTTTTCAAGGGAGACCTGCGGTACATTAGTTACACATAAAAACAACAGAAAACAAAAGGACATCACAACATAATTACAGGGGTATACATTAGCAACCTATTTACAGTGACAGGTATCCAATAACATTTCATCCAGCCGTGCTTTAAAATGATGCAAGGGAATCAAAATGCTCAGTTTCAATGATTTTTGCATAGTGTTCCAAGCTAGAGGAGCAGCGCACATAAAGGCTTTAGTACCTAAAACAGTCCTAGCACTTGGCACATGTAATAAGAACACATCCTGGGATCTCAGGCAATAGCTACTTGCCACTCTCCGTGAGATCAAAGAGCATATATAAGTCGGTAGTTTACCCAGCATGGCTTTATATATGAATATGTACCAATGACTGAGCCTCCGACCAGTAAGTGAAGGCAGACCTGCCTTGGCATACAGGGTACAGTGATGAGTAAGTACTTTACAGTTAGTAACAAATCTCAGAGCACTGTGATAGGCGGCATCTAACCTTTCCAGGCAATGGGCAGGTGCATTCATATAGATCAAATCACCATAGTCTAGCACAGGTAAAAAGGTCACAGTGACTAGCCTTTTTCTGGCTTCAAAAGAGAAACAGGACTTGTTTCTGAAAAAGAAACCTAGTCTAACCCTCAGCTTTTTAAGCAGATTAGTGACCTGAAGTTTAAAAGTAAGACAATCATCAAGCCAGATACCAAGGTATTTATAACAGGTAACCACTTGGAGTACTTGTCCTTGCATAGTCACAATATCCAAAGCAGTCTCTGGAGTCTTTTTAGCTTTAGAAAAGAGCATTACCTTGGTTTTATCAACATTTAAAAGAAGCTTAAGCTCAGCGAGCTGAGTCTGAATAATGTTAAAAACAGCCTGTAATTTAACAACCGCCTCCTTAATGGAGGGACCCGCACAGTACATCACGGTATCATCCGCATAAAAATGTAAAGTAGCTTCATCCACATTTTCACCTAAACTATTGATGTAGATGGAGAATAAAAGTGGATCTAAAACAGAACCTTGAGGAACACCATTAGCAATGTTCAACCACTCAAAGTGAACACATTGGGACCTTTCAGAGAGGTAGTTCACAAACCACCCCACTGCATGGCTGGATAAGCCAATACTGAGTAGCCTCTGCTTTAAGATGCGATGATCGATGGTGTCAAACGCTTTGGAGAGGTCAATAAATAGAGCTGCACAACTCTGCTTTCTGTCTAAAATACTTGTAATGTCATTCACCACTTTCATTGTCGCAGTGATACATCCACTTGTAGCAACAGTTGGAGATCATTGATCAGTTAATGGCTGATACTCAACCATTGTGATTGGTTAATCTATGTTTGATGTATCAAATGCTCATTAACATGAAAAGTTTCACAGGGTGCCAGATTAAAAGCGAATTTGAATCACAGACCTTTAGAGATTGATCACTGTAACAGCACAATTGACCTTATCAGTGTTTCTTCAGATTGGGTCTCTGTTGCTCACTCAGTGAATTATTTGAATATTGATTACAGTTTCAGAGCACTGCAAGTTACAATGGAAAAGAAGATGAAGAAGAAGACCTTTATTAATCTCCGAGGGGGAAATTCAGTTAATTAAAACAGGTTTAATCAACAGGTTTTGACTGATGATACGATCCCCACTTAAACATGATTTATCTACTTTCTTCCAGACCTAAAAACAGGTAAAAGTGGTTAAAATTGTCTAAGAGAGGGCACAAATGAAAAATAGAAAATTAAAAACTGAAGGTCATTATAACATAAAAGCACATGTGAATTATTTCGACTTAAAAGGACATTCAACAGGCATTTTGTTAATCATGCAAATCTGGGTTAATGTCAATGCAGCAACAATGATTTAATCTGAAAGATTTTGAGAAACGATTGCAAAACGTGTATTTTATAATTAATGAATTAATGTCGAGTCACGTTTAACTGTATAGCTTGGTCTTTAGCATGTAAGATGTGGTTAGGTGTTAAGTGTTTTCCTTGCCCAATATTACTTCCTCTTATTTTTTCTTTTCTCAAAGATATGTCTTTTTTTTAATAAAGCAACAAAGATACCAGAAGATATTCGTCTTTTAAGAGGCAGGAATTCTGAGAATTCTGCCTTTTTAAAGTTTTTTTCCAATCAAATCGATTTTGCTCTGTGGTAAACAAACTAAATTCTTCCTCGAATTCCTCATTGTTGTTGTTTTTATGCAACAGACTTCAACCTCAGCAGATCATGTCCCGGTTAAAACCACACATAACACAGTAAACAAACACCAGTAAACATTTACACAACGACTAAAACTGTTCCTGTCTCCTCTCCATCAATAGCAGCCATTGATCCGGACAACTGTTGATAGCTAGCAGTGACGCATCCTCCCCTATCTGCAAAATCAATTATGTTTTTCAAGCGGACTTTGGCTTGATTAATCCTTTCCAGTTAAAGTGTTTTCGGACCTCCAATTGCACAATGAATTTGATAAAACGTTTTTTTTGAAGTCTTTCATTCATATTAATAACATTTTTTGATGAACTATTAGGAAAAATTCATCAAGGGCACATCAACTGACCTCCATTCAAGATCTTATTTTTACAGTAACATCAGAGCTTACAATGCTGTTGAGTGCTGGTTGGCTGAGGTGCAGACATCAGTCAGCCAACGGCCAATAGGGGGCGCCATGTGAGGATTGCCTGGGTATATAAATGTTGCTTTTCAAAGATAACCAGAGAGCAACAGGCGGTTTGGAGCTGGAGGGTGCTGCCTGGAGAGGTAAGGAAGTTTGTGATTTGCCTAGACATGTTACCTGTGATTCACTTAATCATTGCATTGTAGAAAACTGTTATTGAATTTAATAAGACACCAATATTCTGAAACAAGCTATCCATTATTATATATTGTGTACTCTTGCTGATCTGTATTCTTTTAAATCAGCAGCCAACTTTTTTATTTCTTAATGGTGTAGCAGATTGTGAGTGTGTGAGAGAGAGAGAGAGAGAGAGAGAGAGAGAGAGAGAGAGAGAGAGAGAGAGAGAGAGAGAGAGAGAGAGAGAGAGAGAGAGATAGCTAGAGAGAGAGAGAGAGAGAGAGAGAGGAGAGAGAGGATGAGAGCGGAGGGATGAGGGAGGGAGAGGGTTTAGGTTTGAGCTGATTTGTTTATTGTTTGTCTGGCTGCTCTTTTATGTGTTGGATGCACCACAGTAATTGCAGAGCAGAGTTGCGGTTGGATGGGCCTGAGAGGACATGTTAGGGGTTTTTGTAGAGAGAAGGGGCCATGGGGCGAGGGCTCAGGGAGCGAGACCCATTTTTCTTTTCAAGTCCAGTTTGGACCAGTTTGTCTTTTTTTCCAGCTAACAACTGAATCTCTGTAATGCAACAGTGGATGCTTCTTAAGTTGTGAGTGCCTATAATGTGATGTAAGCCCTTTGTTCATGCAGCAGAGTGATGTAATGATCTTTGTACTAGCAGAGGAGTTAATCATTCACCAGCCATTGTTACTATTAGTTCATTTTGTAACAGTTACATTTGCTCTCCCCTGTGTCTGATGACATATTAATCATAAAGTTAAGAAACAGATATCACAGGTTCATTTTCTCTTCATTTCAGATGTGTGCAACCAGTATCATATCATGTTAGCTTTAGAGGCTTTTATCATTTGAGCTTATAAAAACGTTCCTGTTGTTAAGTTACAAGCAACAGTAAAACCTCCCCCTTCCTCTCTTCTCTTCACAGATAAGTGATCAGTGATTGTTCATCCTGAGCGTCAGACCGGGCTGTTCCTTCCTCTGTGGTGGTGGACTCTCGCAACTCCACATTGCTTTCCTCTGGTTCCTCTTTTCTCTCGGCCTGTGATCTCTCTCAACTGCCACCATGAATCTGTCCCTGGCCACGGCGTTCGCCAGGCGCTGGTGGATGGCAGTGACGGCCATCATTGAGAATCTGCTCTTCTCTGCCGTGCTGTTGGGATGGGGATCACTCCTCATCATGCTGAAGTCAGAGGGTTTCTACTCTTACCTTTGCAACGAGGAAGGTGAGTCACAGGCCGCTTGCATTCCTCTCTCTTAACAAGTAACATTGTCACATTTCTTATCTGTCATTTGTTCCATCATGTGCCTTGATAGTAAAGGAAACCCTCATTTGTAAAGGCAAATAGTCTTGAGCATCTGCCTACATGAGTTTAAAGTGCAGAGCTTGCATGTGTCCTGTCTTTCTTTATGGAAGACAATGAGCTGTTAAATGTGGATTGCCAGTGAGGGCTGCCCTTACAGTCATTCAGTGTCATCACCAGTACTAAGAGCAAAAGAGTGAGCAAGGTTTTATTCAAGATAGGTAACTTAATAGACTGCCTTTTGGCTTCTTCTATTCTCTTTAAAGAATAAGTGTTTATCTGAAAGGGGCCCAGGCTGCTTTTTGAGGCCTCAGGAGACTAAACCTGATCAGTTCAATTAAAAAGAGAGCAGGAATGCAGGTTGGAAAAGTGTCCCAAAGTGAAAGAGAAAATTCAAGACACAGCAGATGAGAGGAATCTGATAAACGAACGAATGACGGACGGCATCGGCTGTCCTTTTGCCCTCACGTCTTCTCTTTTTCTTCTTATTCCTCTCTTTGAGCAAAGTCATGCAGCTGCTTTGTGTTTTGAAGTACAAAGGCCACACAATGCACACAATGGCCCCAGTCAGGTCTTGTAGAAGAGAGTAAGCAAAACGGGAATGTGAGAGAGGAATTAGGCCACACTTATCCTTTGGACCTGGATTTCTACAGTAGGAGAATGTTTGTACAACTTGTCTGGCATTGTCTTCCAATTCAACTTAATCTGCAAGTGATGCAACTTGCTCTTGCTTGAACTTGAGACCCAATCAGTGTCTCTAGTAGCTCAAAATTCGACCATAAACCTTCAATAACTCACAGCTAATTCGAGTCACGTTTACAGGCTATTAAAATGTAGTGTAGTGAGTGATGATTGAGCTTCCTGGCTCGTGCCACAGACGTCTTATCTTGTTCTGATGACATAACAGGGAGAGGACCGCAGCACCAGCTCAGCGCTTTTCAAGCATGTGACATGTGATAGAGGGACAGATTTTATGACCGGTAATATGGAAGCCTAAAGTCCACTGATAAAGAGCACGGAGGGAAGTGAAGACTGATAGAAAAGTGATGAACAGTAAAAAACTAGACCACTGGGGGGGTTGGCAGTAAGAAATATGGTTGAAAGATAATGATGACGAAGCATACATGAGGCATTGCGCACATGCAGCAGAGAACAATGAGTTATGGTTAAAAGTTGACGATGTTAAGTCAACAAAAAGAGGAAATAAAGTCAATTTGCAAGTCAGCAAGCATCAGCAAGTCTTAGTTTCTGAAATAGACGTGACACTCAGTTAGGAAGCACGTCAGGGTGTTTCACACAGGGATGTCATGCATATACATCCCTCATGTGACAACAAAGATGTCTACTGGCTGAAAGGTGCAAGGGATTATAATCCAGGCAGAATTGCTGCTTCCCTTTCTACCTCACATGGACTTCTCCTGGACTGTTGTACCTTTATCTCCTGGCAGGTTCTGACGATAATGTGTTTATTGCCACTGCTAGCGTATCACCTTTTGTCCCTTGCATTCCAACGTACTAATTAGTCTAAATAGCATGATTAATGAACTTCTCTCAAACGTTATGGGTGGCTTTTTTGAGAATAAGTGAGTAGGTGTAAATAAAACGTGCAATTTTCCACTTCAATACCCGCCCTGCTCTTTTTTTCTCCAACGTGTATTTTACCATTCGTTCTTTACCTATTTTCATTCTGTTCACAGGCAACAGTTCGATCTCCAATCTGTCCCTACCCCTTGCCACTTCGGCACCCGATGACTATGCTGACTACTTTGAGACTGAGGCTGGTGTGGTTGGTCTGGGAGACGGGGTGGAGATGAGGCCCCTGGTGCCTATGGATGGGCCCCTGAAAATGAACGGCTGGCTGATTTGTAAAGAACAGGATGAGATGCTGAACCTGGCGTTCACAGTGGGCTCCTTCCTGCTCTCGGCCATCACCCTGCCCCTGGGGATCGTCATGGATAAATACGGGCCTCGCAATCTCAGACTGCTGGGCAGGTAAGAAAGGAGAGCGGAAACTATGCAAACTAACCACGATGTTCTTTCTTTTTGACAGTAATTATGTGAACACAGGTTAATTAACTTCGGTTTTCTGGTAATTTGACTTAATGCTGTGACTTTTCTTTATTTATTTTCAGCATGTGTTTCGCATTCTCCTGTCTACTCATTGCTTATGGATCCTACAATCCAAATGGTAAGTCGGCCGGAAGAGTACTCGGGCTGATGTGTATTTTCCTTCACTGTATTTGAAACAATGAACAGTAGTTTGGATGTTGAGAAAGTCACTCATGAGCTAACATATGTGTCATTCATTTGCAGAACTGTCGGTCCTTATCTTCATTGCCCTGACTTTCAATGGCTTTGGGGGCATGTGTATGACCTTCACCTCTCTCACAGTAAGTGTATACATGTTGTGTGTGTCTTGTAATCCTCCTGATGCAGAGTCTTTGCATCTGCCGCAAAACGTTGGTCCAGATATGTATTTTTGTATAACTTTAGCCTTGATGTTAGTGCTCTGTTATACTAGTTTGCTCCCTGTTTTCTCATCCTGTCTTCTCCCCCTGTCCCCCCCCCTCATGTCTTGCATTCTGTTTTGTTTTTGTACACTGCAAGCTGTGTTCCTAGCAGAAGGAGAGGGGATTTATTGGAGCGAGAGGGAGTAACTCAATCATTTCATTATCACTTTCCAATGCATCCATTCGTGTGCCTTAACAAGAACATCATCGAAACTGTTGAGGATGTGCAACGCTCTTCACTTCACTTCACAGAAAAACAACTGATGCTCTTCATGATTCCCGGGAACAAACAACCCCTCAACATTCCTTTGCCTTGTCCCCATTGTTGTTCTTCATCTTCCTGTCCCCTCCTCTTGTCATCAGCTCAGCCTTACAGTGACTAACATGGGAGTCCTGTGCTGTACCATGGTAATAAGAGGGGCTCTTATCCAGTAAATCTCCCAATAAATGCCCCTTTTCTATACCACCACAGGCTGTAACTGTGATGTACATCTCCTATGTGGTATTTGTTGCATCATACTAAAGCCCCATTAGGCCTAAATGTCAGTGATGTAATAAAACCATCATTTAGGGCTTTGTTGCTCCCACAGTCTGTACATTAAACCACATTCCCCCCCCGCCAACTCCCATTACCGTCTCCTTCACAACCTGATCATGTATATAGTGAAAGTCTTAGTGTTGGGTTAATCATTAGACACTATGCTGTTCCTTGAGTGCTTGATCATGACTGCACCTCAGACCTACAGGCATTTATTCTCAGCTGTTAGGTCATAATCAGCTGGCTCCCTGCCAATGTCAGATGTCAGGTCACCTTTCCCATGTATGTGTTCCCAGCAGCTGCTAATGAAACTGGTATCTCTAACAATCGTTTTTTTCTCAGAACTCCTTGAGATATTGCTGGGAAATATAAACTGGGTGCTTCAATGTGCATGCTTAATACCTAATTTAGCACACACACACAGCACATACCTTTTGCTTAGCTTCCCCAGTCTTGTAATTGGATGTGCTTGTTGTTGTTCAGTCTCTTGAAAACCGAACAGCCTGTGGAGGCCTTTGTGTTTGGATGTTTTTCCACCCACTGTCTCCTCCGTGCTCAAACGGGAGCATAGCGTGTAAAAGACAGAGAAAATGTCACCTCACCTCAGTCACCCCTTCTGTCTCGATAGCGCTGTGTTTGTGTCGTGTGTTTGACAGCTGTGTGTGTAATGTGATGCTGTTTCATGTTGTTTTTACGTAGGCTTCATGTCACTTTGTTGTGTTTTACTTCCTTTGATGTCTGCTTGCTAATTGGTTCCCGCTGTCCTCTCTGCGCCAGTGTCTGTAGGCGCCATCCTCATAGTGTCCCCATTCTGTCCCTGGTCTCAGTGCAGTCACTCTGCAGCTGAGACCACTGCGTTCATGGCCTAGCAGATGGCCTAACCTTTATACCTACATACACAATGGAATAAACATAATCTGCTTGCAAATTACTCCAAGAACTTGAAACACCAGTGTGAATCATTTAGGGGGATTTATCGGAAATGGAATATCCTAATCACCGGAAACTAAGAGAGTGTTTTAATGAGCTTGGAATGGGCACTTCTTGCCTACATAATGTGAAGGTCCTTGTCACGTAGACCGCCATATTGTACCGCTGTCTTTTTTCTAAAGTAGCCCAGAATGGACAAACACTGTCTCTATAGAAGGCCAATCTGCAACCACGGCTAAAAGCTCTTTAATTCTAGAGTATAGTATAAACAGGTTGTAATGATGTCTCTTTTCCTCTCCTCCCTCTAGCTTCCTAACATGTTAGGGGACCTCCGTTCCACCTTCATCGCCCTGATGATTGGCTCCTATGCCTCCCTCCGCTGTCACCTTCCCTGGTGTCAAGGTAACAAAGATAACCATTTGTCGTAAAGATTTTGTTTTTCCATACGGCTTCCCTTACTATATGCAACATTCTGCTTTTTACATTAGCTGTCCTCACTCTTGAATGCACTGTGCAACTATATGTTACAAATGTAGTGGATTGAGCAGCCTAAGCACTCCTTTGATTGGATTGCAGTTTCTGTTGCCTCATCTGTTTCTTCTATTGATTGGTCATGCCTTTATGTTCACAGGTTATCTACGACCTCGGCATACCCTTCATCACTATCCTGGTGGTGTGGGCTGCCTGTGCTGGACTGGTCTTCTTGAACTGCTTCATGAACTGGCCACTGGAGCCGTTCCCATCACCAGAGGACATGGACTACAAGTAAGTACCACAGATCAAATTTACTGTAGAAAGTCGACAACATAAACGTTCCCTTAAAAACAAGAACATTTGGAAAAATGTGTCACCAATTGTACTGTGTGTAGGTGCCATCTATGGTAACATTATGCATTGAACTTAAACATTGACAAGTCTCTATTTGTTTAAGTATAACAAAAATAGTCGGACATAAGTAACAGCAGGCTAAAATATGGAGTTCTCGACATCATTGACACTGTTTGACAAATAATGATGTAAGATGTGCAGTGTAATGCTGCCAGGTTCAAGTCTGCTGATGATGAACTCCTGTGTAAATCCTTATAAATTAAAATGAGACCTTGTTCAGCATAAAACGTTTCCAGTTGAGTGATTCATGCATGTCACCATTTTCTCTTTATGATATTAACTTTTTTCTTTCCTTTTCCTCCATTTCCTACTCGACTCTCCTCTGTCCTCTTCTCTCATCTTATTCCTCTTCATCCCCTTCTCCTCTGCTTTCTCAGTGTGAAGATTTAAGTTCAGCTGCTGGGCTTCGACCATAAAATCACAGGGAAGCAGTTCTACAAACAGGTGACCACCGTGGGCCGGCGTCTCAGCGTGAGCAACAGCATCAAGCAGAAGGAAATGGCCATAACTGACGGAAACAAGCTCTGCCTCTCTACCACGGACCTGGAACTGCACAGCGAAGTCGAGTGTAAGAGTTCAGAAATCAACGCCCCTTGTTTTGTGTATTTCACTCTATTGCGTATCGTTAACATCTGTGGTGTTTCTGTTTCTCCTCTTCAGCCCAGTCCTTCTTGAAAACCATCAGCAGCACGATGTTCATGCTCAGTCTGGTGACCATGTGTGTCACTCAGCTCCGTCTCTTGTTCTACATGGGAGCCATGAACAGCGTCCTGGAGTCACTCAGTGATGGAGACCTCAACACAGGTATGTGGCTCTGCTTATGGTTTGAGTATCTCTCTATGTCTTTGTGTTTCGAAGTACTAGAAAACGTTTTTGTTTGATTTTTCTTTATCTTGAATTATGTTTTTTCTTTGCCTTATGACATATGCTATATGGTTTGTATTTCTGCCATAAATGCATCTGGACTTCAATGGTTTTATTTGTATTTTCAGTTGAAAGAATGGAAGTCGGTAAGACTAAAAGCGTATCAGTAGATTAGCAGATTGTTACTAATAAACTGACTATAATTAGAACTTAACCTCTAGAATTGTGTAGGTTTGCATCACAATAATACATCCACTACCATACTCTCTTGCTTTTCTCATACAGTAGCTAGTTTGTTTTTTCATTTGACCTTGCCTGTTGCCCATGTCAATAACCCAGTCCTTCAGCTGTCATTCAGCTTAATCTGAAAACTATCATTTGTTCTACTCATTAACTAGCTTTCCCCTAAGCAACAGCAAAAAACATTCATCCATGATTGTACGCAGTTCACATGACTCGTTTTCATTTATCATTACTCCCCTGGCTATAAATCCCTCATAATGGCATCATATTGACTTTCATGAAGCTGTTTCTCCATATCCACTGGTGTTTCACTTCATATGGCTCCAGTCCTATGACTAATGATTAACTGTACAATCATAGTGATTAACCAAGTAGAAACAAGGTCCTGAAGACATCATAAACTAGTCATATTTCAACCATTCCCTCTGATAACACCCACTTTCGTTTTTTTTCTGATTTTTTGTTATCATTTGTTGCACTTTTTTTTTAAACCTTTTTGTCCTCATTCTTACCCTCTCTCAGTGAGTCTGTACTCCTCCATCTTCGGCATTATGCAGCTGCTTTGCCTGATGACCACTCCTGTGATTGGTCAGATTATGGACTGGAAGCTAAAGGAGTGCGATGAAGGAAAGGACGAAAAGGAGCCCTGCAGCAAGTGAGTCACTTGTTCCTGAACTCTCTCCATGTATCAAATCAAAACAAATCAAAGTTTATTTATAAAGCACATTTAAAAGCGATTTTTGGTCGGGCCAAAGTGCTGTACATGTAATAAATACTACAATTACATAAAAACACATTACTACAATCACAATAAAAGACAATAAATTACAAGAGATATATAACAAACACAGGGAAAAGTCAGGAGTCGTGCTCCGCTCTGACTAGAAGGCCAGGGAGAAGAAGTGTGTCTTAAGAGTAGATTTAAAAACCCCTAGGGTCTGGGCCGACCTCACATGGAGGGGCAGAGTGTTCCAGAGCCTGGGGCCAGCTGCTGCGAAGGCTCGGTGCCCTCTGGTTTTAAGCCTGGTCTTGGGCACTACCAGCAGCAGCTGGTCAGCAGACCTTAAAGCTCTGGCTGGGGTGTAGCGCTGGAGGACTTCAGCTATATAGGCCGGAGCCAGCCCATTTAGTGCTTTAAAAATGAGTATGTATAGGTCCAGAAACTGCTCCAGAAACTGCTCCATGAACCACAAAATGAACCCTGTATCACGCCTAATTTTCTGATCTCTCTTTTGTTCTTTCTCATTTCGACCATTAGCGGGGAGAAGACGAAAAAGCGCAGAGACAAAAAGACACAGAAGGTGACCAATGCCCTGCGAGCTTTCGTCCTCACAAACGTCCTTCTAGTAGGGTTTGGGATCACCAGTCTGATACCCAATCTCCCCGTGCAGGTGAGTGATCCACTTTGGTCAAAGTCAACTTTATTGTCTTCAGTTTGTGTGTACAGACAGAGAGATCAAAATACCGTTTCCCACAATGCCGAATACGAAAAACTGTCAGAGAAACACCAAATCCAAATGGGCTTCAGACTTGCTAGCAAACATTTAGAAATATTAGTATTTGTATATTTGAAGTGTTATAATTCAGTTTAGTATTTTGTGAATGTAACAGCGAATGGGAAACAAGTCCTAACATCTTTTTTAGCTTAGCATGTACTTCAATTCTGTTACCTTTGAACCAGTCCTACATGTTTCCTGTCTTTATGCTAAGCTAAGCTACCTGTCTGTAGCCTCTCCTCTCCCTCTCAAATGCAAAGGGTTGAACTATTCCTTAAAGACCCTCCTCAACCTTTTTACTGAAAGATAATAAATATTGATCCATTTATTCTTTCCTCAGATTGTCTCATTCGTTTTACACACTGTGGTGAGAGGATTCATTCACTCTGCTGTTGGTGGCCTCTATGCTGCTGTGTAAGTCTCATAATACACACACACACACACACAGACACACACACACACACACACACACACACACACACACAACACAGACACACACAAAACACAAATTCATCATCATCACTTTTTTTTCTGTATACGGATGTAGCTTTAAACTAAAAAACAAAATGTCCTCGCTTCTGTCTCTGCAGGTACCCCTCCTCTCAGTTTGGCAGTCTAACGGGTATGCAGTCCCTGGTCAGTGCTGTGTTTTCTTTACTGCAGCAACCCCTGTTTCTGTGGATGATGGGACCCCTGGAGGGAGACCCCTTCTGGGTATGAATGGACACACAAACACACTCTCAGACTCTCACAAATGAAACCTTCAGGCATGGCTAATTCTGATTTTGTCCCACAGGTCAACATTGGACTCCTTGTTATCAGCATGCTGGGCTTCTTGCTGCCTCTCTACCTGATGTGGTACAGACGGACGCTCCACAAAGAGCAGCTGCAGAGAGAGGACAACGCCAAGATCTACTTAAGGATCAACGGCAGCGACATACCTGAGGCCTACGTCTAGAGAAAAGCAAAGGACAGCAGATGATTTTTACTGAGAAACATTTGCAGCCCAGTAATATGTGCATACATTCACATGCAAAATCTTAACTTCTAGAATATAAAATGTCAACCAATTGCACATTCTACAACAAGTACACATACAAACAGACTGACAAATCTGTTGTTCCCATGAAGATAAAGAGATGCTGCAGTCGTCAAACTAACAATTCAGTTGGACAGTCGCTTTGGAGAACAGTGAAACGTGGAGGGAAAAAAGAAAAAACAAGAGGAAAGACTGTGAAAGGAAAGAGGCATAAGCCCTCTGTATTCCCCCCAATCCTCTGACTTTTATTTTGATTCCCTCTTCTCTGAGCGGCACATTAGTGAAGCTCTGTTCCACATAACAGAGTTTTTTTTAAGCTCCTGAATATCCCCCTGTGACACTAACAAGACAGCTTGTTGTCACCATTATTTGTGAGTGATTCCAATTTTATATATGTTGACTTTAAATCATCCTGATTGTAAATTCCATAACCTGTCTTTTCATCAGCTGGATTTTTTGAGAGATGGTGTGAGATAAGTGTGGACTAAATGACATCAATAAGCGACAACATGGAGAGGTTGATGTTTCTCGGGCGAATACAAAAGAGACTCATCATTAATGCATCTAATTATAGTAAAACACTACTGTAGCTTAGAGTATACTTGAGAATAGGAGGAATGTCAGTATTTTATGGGCTGTATTCTGTAAGAAGGACTTTAAACAAACTGCGGTATGTTTTGATAAACGCAAAATGTTATTGTATGTTTAGAGTTTTATTGCCTGCTTTATTTCGTTTTCTTTTTCTAAGTTAAGTTTACCAGGATGCCTTTTAAATAAACTTCCATGTAAAAGAGACGAACATTTTTACACATATCAGTAAAAATAGTTTTCCATTTCTCCATTAGGTTTACCATTCAGATGCCTTATCTTGAGTCAGTATTTCTACCTACTTTTCAGCACTTTATACCCTGTTAACCTCTTTAAATTCCACACACATCATCTCATTTCAGCACTTCTCTCATAGTCCCTCTTCACATGTGTATTTATTTCATTTTACATTCATTTTTCCACAATACATCGCATCATGTATTTAAAATGTCACTATGTCCCATTCAGTGTTGTTCGCATAGAGCTAGATTATGTAGAGATGTTTGTTTTGCAGGTGTTCCTGTTTTAAAATGGAAAAGCTGTGGGGGTTAATAAAGATGATTTGATATCTATTCCCTTTTGTTCTATTTTTTTCATTGCTAACCATACAAAGCTGTTTCTGTGATATTCTTAACGGGTCACAGAAAAAGCTATTAACAAAGTAATCTAGGGCCTGGGGCGATTTGTTTGTTTTTAAATCTACAGGACCATTTTTATGCATGATTGTTTTTCTGCTTCTAAAACTACACCTTGCACAATATTCTAAACAATGCCAACTGTCATAAATCAGGTTGCAACTTGTTATTATAACAAATTAAAGGGGACCTATCATGCAAAATGCACTTTTTCATGTCTCTTCTACATGTGTCCCCTCTGTGTAAAGAGATTCTGAAAGTTTCAGGAACAAAGATTCTCTCTCTTTTTGTCCTGATCCATTTATATAAAAACCTGTCTGAATCAGATTTTGGCCACTTTATGATGTCATAACGTTTTTTTGGCTTGTGTAACCATTAGCCAATCACCAACCAAGGTAACCCCCCCACCACCTTATCACCTGAATCTCCTCCTGAGCACCATGGTGTTCTTTTTAACCAAATCTCTCTCAGAGGGGCGTGGGGGTGGCTCCTTATTTTCATCTAAAGTAACAGACAGAGAATCAGCACTTTGGAAACAGGGCTGAAACAGAGGGGATTATGGGATGCTGCAATGATCTGTTTGGTATTTGGAGCCAAACACTTCAGAGACATTTGTATATATCTGAGACCTATTATATATTGATAACAAATTGTATAATAGGAGACCTTTAAGCTTTTGATTTGAAATTTAGAGACACTTTTAGATTTTTAAAATGATCAATTTGTGCCTGTATTTGAAGGCCGAGTTTATAGGACATTTTTGAAAAAAGCGTCAAGAAAAAAATAATTGCAGTTTATAGGTTTTCCTGCTACGAACCAGCAGAGGCCAGTATTGGCAGTGTGAGCCTCCACTAATGAATAAATAAACATTTTTGCCTTATTTTTAGGCCTTATTTACTTTTAAAACAGAATTGTTTTTTCAACTTTTGATAAACAAAAAGCAGTATTGTAGTCACACTGACATATACATTAAAATAATTATCCACACATGTAAACCACACCTGTAGAAATATAGACAATGATGTTGTCTTGAGACTCATTTATGCTATCAACACATTCCTGCATAATTCCACCATTTCATTATACATATGTTAAAGCTTATCCGAAATCCCCCACATATAAAAATCCTAATTTGCTTGAACCTCAGTGATTAAGGACAGGGTGTCTCCTGCCTCCATGTCCCCCAGGAACCTTGTTCAGAGGTGAGATTACTGGAGTAATTCAGAGCAGTTTTTCCACCAGATGTTCCCGGCACACTCTCACTGTTTGGTTTTACCAGACCTGCCAGCACTCCGTTCTGACATTTGACACTAAAAACTCCAGCAGATGGTTATCATTTGATACCCCTACACACCTGAGAATATTTGACAATGTCACACACACATCAGGGACTGTGGCTCCTGGAGATCTGATGCTTCTGCTGCTGCTGATGGTGAAGCAACTGTTGGCTGGCTGGCAGACCCCTGTGATTTGTTCAGGTACACAGTTCAAAGGGGCAACATGAGACCACTGCCATACTAGTCAGAAAGTAGTGGAGCAGCATGTTATGTTGAACAATTTAAGGAAGGGTATCCAAAATACTCTTTCAGAAGCTGTATGACAGATAGGTAGATGGACAGATAGATAGATGGATGGATGGATTGTAGCCTACTTCAGGAGGTAACAGGTCAGCATCCTATCCAGAAGAGAACACAGAGGAATGATAAGCGGATATTGGCAGACGGATACAGATGTGCTATAAATACAGCAGCAGTGCACTGTTACATAATTTTAGACTCACACACACGCACTCACATCCCGCAATCTCCGGGATTTGGGGCTGGATTAGGGACCTGTGATGCCCTGTCATCGCATCACGCGCCAACACAATTTTACAGACCCGTGGGTGGTGGACTGAGTCGTGCATGGTCAGGGACCTGCAGCGAGAAAATCCTGTGTGGATGTCTAAGGATGACGGCACGAGCTCCACGATTTTTTTTAACGAAACACCACGTCATACATGTATTTGAAATTTAGAGTAATGTAAAACATCAATGGCAGATATCTAGTGGACAGGGGTGGTTTGGGCATTTCTGGAGGAAGATAATCACATTAGATGCAGGGACTTTGTTGGAAGGGTTTACAGAGATGACGCACCGTGCGTCTGTGCCAGCGGTGGTGGTCCCTGTGTCACGCGCATTTATACTCTGGTGGCGAATAACTATGCTGCTACGTCAGAGGGACTGTGATGACGCAGAGGGTGAAGCACTCTGAATAAAAACGATCCAGCAAAGCTCAGAGAGTAGCCTATGTTATTTCATGTAGTGATTGTTGGTGGTTTTTCTGATGTTTGTAATTTAAATGTAAAATAAAAATATATTAAATGTATTTTGTGTTTCACTTCTGCTTTGTCGAATAATTATACTTCATTCATGCTTTGAAATCTATTTTTAGATTGTTGGTGCTGCTGTTTTAAAACTCCTGTAAAACATAAGTAAGACTTTTTTTCCTGCAAGGTCCTTTTGGGGTTCAATCAAGCTATTATATAGGCTACCTTATTCATGGGATCACTTTTGATTTTAGTGATAGCTTTATAAGTTAGAATGGCAAAACGATGTCAATTATTCTCCAAGGTCTGGTTGTTTTTTTTTTGTAAACATGGTCATAACAAGGTGTCCCATAATCAGCAGAATGTGTATTGTCAAGCATTTAAATGATTCTCTATAGAAAAACTGAACATATATACAATTGGGTTATAGACCCACCACAACAGCCACACAGCACCCCCTGGCGACCCTCCTTCCCTCAGTCTGCTCTGCACAGGCCACTGCGCGCAACAGCAACGCCGCTCCGCGTCCTGATCAGGAAGTGAATCTGAGGGAAATAAGCGACTGTGGAGGTAGAATGACATAGAGGGGGAGAAGTGGGAGAGAAGCAAGCGGAGATACAAGAGACTAACGGAGGGAGGGATCGACCCTTGTTTCTGGACCCTGTATTGAGCTGCTCCCCTCTTGGAGATACTGCACCGCCAAAAAAATGCTCATAAAGGAATTGTAAGTAGTGTGTGTGTACATGTGTTTGTGTGTGTGTGCGTTTATCCGTATGGTTTCGCAGCGCTGACATTGTGGCCAGTTGCCCTAGAGTGGAATTACAAGAGAGAGGCCAGGGTGATCGACATACCGTATATGTAGGACTCCGTGTCCGTCATCATTTTTCATGCATGACACTCCATCACCAACGCATTCACCGAATAAACCGAGAGATGCATGAAGCTGCGGCTGTGGTCGCCTCAGCAGCCGGTGCAGGCTGTGCCCTTCACATTTTGCATCACTCGTGAAATCATGAGGCTTTTACTTTAGCAGATACATGAATGTCCTTTGCTGGGGTGCTAAAATGACGGATGCTCTAGAGGAGTGGAGCTGAGGGAGAAATGGCTGATATAAGTCACGCCGTGCCGTGCCAGCGTCCATCCCTGCTGTGGCCATGTTATTGATGCGCGGTGAAGGTGAAACCACTGATGGAGCATTCCGGCATTTACCTCTGGAGGAATGGAGATAGTGTTTAGGATCCCTGGGCGGGGAGAAAAGGTGGGAGTGAGCAGGTAGCATACAGGGGAGGTGGTTGCAAAGCGTTGGCAAAAAAATGTCAAATGGCGAGTTTTTTGACGCACCAGTCAAGACATTTCTGAGAATTTGACAGCTGGGCCAAAGGGACAGGATAGCACACGAAGCGGCGTCGTTCGTGCAAACGAAAAGATTTGGGAATAGTTTAGCACGTTACTTTAACACGTTGCATGTGCAGGCCTCAGTGTTCTGTGAGGATAACAGACTGAGGCCTGCTCACAGTCAGCTGGTGGTTAGGGACAGGCCGGTGGATTGCAGATGAACTGGGATGAGTTTGGCCGGCAAATAAAGAAAATCGTATATTATTCATTGTTTTCGAGTTCACACAGGATGTTAGTTCCTTCATGTTCAAGCTCTTATGCATGCTGTCAACCTGTACACTATATTCAGTTTGCTTTACAGAGCAACCCACCTGTATACAAAAGTAATCACTGTGGTTTGCTCCACGTTTAAATGTTACAGTATAGTTTCAGATGGTTTTGCACCCTCTTTTCTATAAAGTATTTAAAATATATACATGAATCTTTAAGAAGCTTGTATGATAATAGTTTTATTGCAATTCTATGGCAAGGTCAGAGCTATGCTACCATAAATTGGCACACATTTTGAGCTACTGGCAGCTTCAGCACCTAAAAATAACAATGATCTAGAACAGCTTAACTGATCAGAACCTGACATAAATGTGCATCAATCAGCACTCATAGTTTTCTGGATTTCTCACAATAAGACTTCAATCAATTAATGTCCCTATAGTCTAAGCTCACGGTGAGAGTGATGGCATGGCTGACAATCTGAGGTGATTACAGAGAGTCTGGCTCTCAGCAGTCTGCCTTGAAATTAATTTGGTCACGATGACATGCTGAATGCACTTACACATGCTGTCAACACACAGACACATGAGAAACTTCAACATGAACACACACACACTGAGATGGTATCACAGGGGTATAGAGATGACCCATTTGCTGCTGTAGTACAGACAGGCTGTTTCTTTTACTCCATACTGCTCACCTAAACCACTGACCTAAATCACTCCTGCTCCATTTTTTATTACGATTTCATGAGCTTTTGCAGGTGAACATTGGTACCTTAGCAAATGTTCAGTGTGATGTAGAGAATAAGAGAATAAGAGCGAAAGATTACAGGTTTTCTTAACCTTGGAGAGATTTGTAAAAGACAGTGTGTCGTTTTCTTTAATGCCCCCTGAAGCAAATGTGTGATATTATGGAAATTGAATTTACTTGAAGAAAGGTTGAGATAAAAAGACAAACCATGCAGGAAAGAAAACGGGTGTTGGGTTTTCTGAAGCAACAGAGAGACACCTGATCTTCCTGCC